GAGAGAGAGAGAGAGAGCTTAGTCAGGATTATTTTATTACATCCATTGCGAAGTAAAGTCGCTCGTCTGATCGATGCAGTCGCCAATTCCCCCGTTGTCTTACCGCAAGGTGGATTTTATCTAAAATTTCGCGCGATGAAATTATGATAGAGTATGATAAAAGGTACGGTAACTCCTTGTGAAAAGAAAAGAAAAAAAAAAAGTAAAAACGACAAGAAAGACATCATTAAGAGGCGCTACGTTTATGAGTTTTTTCTGCGTGTGTATTCTCCTCCTTTACTTAGCGATTGTTTGTTCCACCCCGCGTCACTCGTAATCGTAGTCGGAATTTCAGCTACGCGGTACTCAAGGACGAAGGGAGTTTATCAGAGTCTCGAGAGAAAATGGGCAAAGTCGCGGGGGACGAATCTCGGTCTACGGTTGCAACCCTGAACTACATTCGCTAACGCGTGCTAACGAAACAGCAAAACAAGGAGGTAACGTGCGCGCACGCATCGTATGTATGTCGGGCAGGAATTTTCAGTACGTTAGTTTGTGAACTGCGAGAGAATAAGTCAAGTTCCGCGTGGTGCGACGTGGGAGAATGAAGTACGTGACGGTGGTTCACAAGCGTACCCCGCGCTCGACCGAGTGTGCGCTAATTGGCCTGCGCCTCTGCTAAACGCGTGTAAAACGTCGTGCACTGTCCCCCGTCGCAAGGTGTTAAAAGGGGGTTGGGGCAGGCCGGCACGTATAATCAATATCGAGGTCATTTTCGAAGGCTGCGATAAATCGCGCGCCGTCACCTTGTAAATGGATAATAATAACGTACGCGCATTATAGCGCGCGCTATACGGTAATTCGTTCGGTTAATCTGCTCGTAAGAAGATTGTGCCTCCACTTAGCCGGGACGCATTGACAGAAGAAGATTAATCAGGCTATAAAATTGCATGGCGTAGCGGCGCTGCTCCTTCTCTCTCTCTCTCTCTCTCTCTCTCTCTCTCTCTCTCTCTCTCTCTCTCGGCGATTATAACGCTGTGCGTATATAATGATAATTTACTGGAAAACCGTGAAGAAATTTTCCTTATCGCGAGAATTGTAGCGTGCGCCTTTTAAACGTTATTAAAGCTATTGACGCGAACAGCGAGATATTAATTGGGCTATAAAGTCACATTAAAGGAAAAGACAAAGGGAGTGACTTCGCGAAATGCGATGTTGGTGATTCGCTTTATATCTTACGAGGAGGTATTGTACGAAATTACTTCATCACGAAATGCCATATGTTCTATCAGTCTATCGAAGCGTCTCTAGTCAGGGAATGTAATGCGAATTGTTAAAACCTACACTCCCGGTACGTATTGCTCACTTCTGGACAACGTCTCTACTTGTCAACGCGAGAAGCTGATGTTTATGTTAAAACAATTTGTCATATCCTATGTCCCAGGATAAGAATTTCGCCGTTAAAAAATCCAACACGACTGTGAGATACGAGAATTTATTACGACGTCTTTTTATCCCGCGAATGATATAACGCATCGTTAAACAAGCGGCGAGTCAGAACGCGGAACTAGTTAACTTGAGATAAGGAGGATCCTTGGCTGGGATAAAAGAGGGAAAGGTGACAACATCCCCCGGGGCTAAGGGCTTCTTACGTTCTTCTACATTTGTCTCGCACCACGCTCACCGATTGGCCTAAGCCGTCGTTTCCTCTTGCGCTTTCGTTTACCACCACGCTTGTAATCACGTCTGTGCGCGACCATCGAGCGACTCATCGAGGAAGAAAAGAAAAAAAAGAAGTATCGTGTCGGAATGCTGACGTGTATTCATTAGGGCAGGGTGAAACGTTTCCGGCTCGAAGCAATTTCCCCTCGTAGAAACGGCGATTTTCCCCCTCCGTCCCGACTCGGGAATAACTCGGATAAAATCGGCAATCGACGATGAAATATCTACTTTTGCGGTCAAGACGGGGGGAGAATGATCGACGCGGGATGTGTGCGAGGGTGTCAAATTGGAAATCCAACGCAGCATTTCTGGTTATCTCAATTGGCTGTTGAGCGCCAGAAGAGGAGAGTCGCTCAAAGTGAGAATGCGCAAAGAGCGCAACGATGACGTATTGGAGAAGATTTAGCGTTCGTTAACGCGCCCTCGTCCGCCACATCTCTCGTCAACTGCTCGTGCATTAGAGTTAAGACTCCGTCAGAATCTACGCGACTGGATGTGTCGCATTTCACGGCGAGTTGACGCGCGAAAAAGTTTCTAGGTGGAAAAGACGCGTTCGAGCTGGTGGAACGTTTTCCCTCGTTTTGTCGCGTCGGGGAGAAGGTTTCACTTATCTCTGGGAATTTCCGACAAACTAATCGAGAGTCCGCGCACTGTCTCCCTTTGATCCTGGCTGCTGACTCCCCGTCCCGCCTCACCTCTATCTCCCATTGTGCTTCTGCGCTTCAAAGGTAATCCTTTCCGCGCCTATTGATCCGCGCGAATATCGGCGATCGTGGATTTCCCTGTAACTCGCATAATACCTTTCCATTGTTGTCAAAGGAGAAAAAGCGCGCTCGAGTGCGCGAGCCTAGATATACATACACATATATGTGTATATTTTTTTTCTTTATCCTTCCGGTGCGCGACAAGTCGCACGCTGTTAACGCACGTCGTTTCGTCAAATGGAATCCGTCAAATGGTTTTCACTCGTGTGCTGCTTCGTCAAACGATGTTAGTGCATTAACGCTTCGCGACACTGGCGCTACATCGTCGTCCTCTCGTGAATTTCCTGTCACCGGTGCACGCGTTATTTTAACGTCAAACGGGGATCTGTATTTTCTGCTACCTGTCTTTGTGCAATTATCAACGGTAGCAAGAGGATTTCCTGATGATTTTCAAGTGTACCGAGAGAAAAAATATCTAAGACAAAAATAATTACTCGGTAATAACATGTTTATATATTATACAAATAACATATTTATTTATACCAATGCAAAACATTTTTCAAATAAAGAACTACACATTTTCTTAAGATGTCTTAAGAAAACTTGAGCTTTTCACTAAAACAATTGTTTATTCTATTAATTTGTTTATTCTAATAAAAGGATTTTTATTTAAATGAATATACATAATTAGTATCCACCAAATAAATATTTACTATTTTTCGGTATTTTTTCTCTCAGCACGGACCAGTCTCGGGAAATCAGATTTGATTTCAAATCGCTTTTCAACAATTTGGATGCTATTTGTTGCTCTCAAGAAACCCACAGAAGGATGACCACGTGATTAATTCTTGCCTAACAAAAATCTTTTTCTTTCCCCTCTCTCTCTCTCTCTCTCTCTCTCTCTCTCTCTCTCTCTTCTTATTTCATAAGATAATTATTTTATAAGAGCTTAAGCGCCTGAGTTGCAACTGTTTGCGTTTGTCGACGGCCGCGTTGTGTCTCCGACAACTAAAGAACGACGACATTCTGGCTCCGTTTGAAGGCTGGCCGTCTCGGGTCGGGAACGTAATTGCTAATAACACGGCGGTTTCGAATAATTAGCCAGCGAGGATCGACTAATCGAGTTCGCACCTCGGGCCGGCCAAACTCCACCGAACGCGGAGGCGTACGCTCCGCGGTGCAACCGGAAGCATCGGAAGGCTTAATGCAGCCGCCGCTGCGCTCCGCGCCGGACTTGCGACCGCCATCTCCGCGAAACTTCCTGCGAGCTTGTTTCGGTTTCCGCGTTCGCGTATTACCCAGGAAGCAGTTGCCGGTGGTTTCGGGAAGTTGCTGGAACACCCTGGCTGTTTGATCCTATTTGGATTTAAGACTCGCGTCGACTCTATGCCGCCCCGCGGCGCGCACGCGGTGGCCATGTTGCAACTTGCTCCTCGTCCGCAAATTTGAAGAACACGTCGATGTTTAAACCGCCATCCATTCTCGAGCGCGATGTTTGACCCCGTTTTCCTCGCGGCGCGACGATAACTAACGGGAAGTCGAAAGAACACGGCGCAATGATTAAGTTCTCAGGAGAGAGAGAGAGAGAGAGAGAGAGGGAAAGGGTAGTGCGCTATCATTGCCGGCGAAGCAGAGAACGACGCTTCATTCCGAGACAGAGAGCATGACGCCGAGCTGGAAAACTTTTCCTCTCGAAGCACACGGTGTTTGGAAAATATCTCAGATCTCTCAAAGTATCAACCCCGTCGCTAAAGAGGACTGTGTCGTCGAGGGTTGACGTGGTAGCAGTTTACTTGAGAGCGGATCGTGGAAAACTCTCACGACGGCCCAGCCTTTCGATCCGGAGAAAAATGTCTTATCCTAATCGGATTAAACGTCTTGTAGTCGGTGAACGCGACCGGACTCTTGAAATTCGCGATGACGCTTAACCTTTATCCTTCTCTTGGAATATTCTATTAAATTAGATCGTTTCTCTCCTCTCGGGAGTTTCAGTTTTGACGGGGCGTTTGATGTCTCAAAGTAATATCTACACTATATCGTTTTGAAGAAGCGTGAGAAATAACACAGATACATAAAATATTTCTAGACACACGATCCGGTTTCGGGGAGACCGTTTATTCGTCACCACTTCGGTCTCCATCGTCGGGTGAAATGTCGTCGCTCGATTTGAAACGCGTAGTATCGCGTAGTAACTGGAGCCAACTGGGAAATCCAGCGATCTACATGCCGATCCATTTCCAACCCAACGTTCTCCCAATATCTCTCTCCGGCGACATCCTTCTCTCGCGATCGCGATTCCTCGAAGTCTCTCTCCCTGTCCATCACATCACTACCGTCATCGTCATCATCATCAGGCCCGAGAGGCTGCGTGTGTGTGCACGGTGTAATGGTGTAATAACGCAGGACACACGGACGAAGCACCATTTCAAGCAACACACCTACAACAGCCCCACCTTCTGTGACCACTGCGGTAGTCTTCTCTATGGTGTCATCCACCAGGGCATGAAGTGCCAAGGTATCACATGACGAGAAAAAACAAACGCGAAAAATCGTACGACACGCGAAGACAACACACAGTTTGCCAGGACAACACACATACACATGATTCACGTATATCCACATATGTACATACACAGAGACGATATACAGCAAACCTATAACCTATACTGTACACTTATACGATATCGTACATATACATGTACCGTGTATATATAAATACAACACACTATTTATACATATTTACACACACATATATATATATATATATATACACACAAATATATATATATATATATATATATACACATACGTATATATATGTGTGTGTATATGTGTATAGTACACTGGTATTTTTTTTTCTTTGTCTTTTTGTTTTTCTTGGCCCAGCGTGGTGTTGCTTTATCTTCGTATTGTACTCCTGTATAGTCTCTTGGTCTATTTTGCTCTTTTTCTCTCTATCACTCCTCTCTGTAAATAATTACTCGCTGTAAATAATACATTCTAGCGCTAGCAGTTTTACGCCGTATTCGCGCGCGCCGCTACCACGCGGCGATGCTAGAAATCCGATTAATTGCGTTAACAATGATCGCAAACGCGACGGATGGATCGTCTTCCCCTTATCCGCGTGCGTTTACCGACGTACTGCTAATGCGATTAGCAGCGCTTTTAATTACGTACGGTGTATGACCCTTGGCCCCTCTCGACGTGTGGATTTTGCAGTGACATTGTACGTGGAGTGGCTTTTGTGCATTAACAGCGTGTTCCTCTTTCTCTTTTTCTCCGTCTCAGCAGGGACATGATTTCACGATGCTGCGTAAATGTGTATGTGTGTGTGTGTGTGTGTGTGTGTGTGTATACGTGCGTATATGTGTATAATCATATTGGATTATCACGTATTAACTTGCATACAATTATGCGCTGCAAAAGAGAGTGCACATAGCGATCTGTCTAGTGAGAGACAGGGAGGGAACTGGAGCGAATTGCGAAACAGGATGTAAAATCCGTCGAAGAGATACAGTCAATGGGACTCGAACAGCGTGCAAGATAATATCCCGAAGGAAATTTTCACGTGCAATTCCACCTCGCTCCCGCTCTTTCCTTGTCCTTCACGGACGTCGTAGGCGTACCTTGGTAACCTTTCGCATTCCCTTTCTATTACTTGCCTCGTGTTTCACACGCGCACACATGGGAGAGGGAGCTCTCTTCACTCTATATTTCAGTTTAATACCCTCGTTTCGTATCCGTATACATTCGTGTCTGTGCTCGGCGGAAAGTTAGCGCTTCAAAAGAATGCTCTTCCCCGATAATTGGATGAACTCGTCTCCGAGTATTTAGACCGGTAACATCGGCTGCCGTTTCAAACGGTGCAAGAACGAAAATAAAAAAAAAAAATAAAAAAAAAGAGAAAAAGTCAAACGCTTTGACAATTAGCCCGCGAATCGGTCCATATCGAGAGAGAGAGAGAGAGAGAGAGAGAGAGAGAGAGAGAGAGAG